AAGTGCTTTATCCACTGTACTAGCTTTCTGGCCTTACACATGCAAGGCAATTCTGATACCTTCATTTTTTTACTTTTTTAACAAGTAGAAAATGTGAAACTATACATATAGCTTGCATTATAGTTGTACCTATTTAATTCCGCTGAAATAAAGATTGGGCATAAGCCCCCACTTCACTGAAGCTTTCTTCTAGAGGTGAGTGATTCAGAGTAAATATGATAAGGAATCTTAGATCTTAGTGTCTATTACTCAAGAGTCTCCCACTGAACTAGTAACAGTTTTTCCTTTCCCCCTCAGTGGGTAGAACTGCTGTTATTTTGACTATTAGAATATTTCCATTCGCTTAACATTTGGAGCTCTGAATTTCTCTTACAATTCACTCACTGGATTAATATTCTTCAAACTCCAGCCCGTCACATTTTAAGGGAATCCTTGCTCCTTCACTCCCATCCATACATCCATCAGCAATCATCAGTCCTATTTTCAGGGCCTGCTCTTCCTGCCAGAACTTGCACCAAGTTGCCAAAGTAATGAAAGTAATGGCATAATCAGCATAGGCGTTCTTTCATGAAGCACTACACTGTATAGCACTGTCCTCCCGTTGTTCATCGATTTGCTCGAATCAGTGAAAATTACCAAAGAAATAAGAATTATGTGGGTTAAAAGAGCATTTATCAAATTGAATTTTGTTTTGTTTTTGGGCAACCTCGGTGATGCTCAGGGGTTATTCCTAGTTTTGCACTCAGGATTTATTCCTGGTGTTGCTCAGGGGACCACATGGGAAGCCGGGGATCAAACCTGGGTCAGCTATGCGCAAGGCAAGTGCCCTACCCACTCTACTGCCTCTCTTGCCCCATAAATTGAGATTTTTTTGGTCACAGCCAGCAATACTCAGGGGTTATTCCTGTTTACTCCCAGCTTTGCACTCAGGGATCAGTCCTGGTAATGCTTGGGGGACCATATGGGTCGAACCCAGTTTGACCAAATGCAAGGCACACACCCTATCTGCTGTACTATCCTTCCAGCTCTCCATTATGCTTTAGGTTTTTTTAAACTTTTTTATTGAATCACTGTGAGACATTACAAATCTGTTCATGATTGGATTTCAGTCACAGAGTATTCTAACATCCATCCCTCCACCAGTGTATGTTTCCCAGCACCAGTGTCCCCAGGTTCCCTCCCATAACCCCCCACCCACTACCTGCCTCATGGGAGGCGCTTTTCTTCTCTCTCTCTCTCCCCCCACCTTTTGGGCATTGTGGTTTGCAATACTGATACTAAAAGGTTATCAAGAATATCCCTTACCTACTTTTAACTGTCAGATCTTGTCCAGCATGATCATTCCCTATGCTTTAATTTTTTAAGAGTATTTTATCTTCAATGATAATAGAATTTCTGAGTGATATTTTAAAATAAGCTTTGGAGGAATCTTGGATGGGGAAATTGGCAAATATTTCTGAATGTATTTGTATTCCAAAAGAAAAGCTTCACTTATAAGGACCAGGACGATTGCTCCACTGCTTGGAAGCCGGCCTCACACGCTGGGGGAAAAGGCAGCTCAGATAGAGAAGGGGCCACCAAGTAAAGGGTGCTTGGAGGACCCGCTCAGGATGGGAGATTCGTGCTGAAAGTAGACTATAGAACGAACATGATGGCCACTTAATACCTCTATTGCAAACCACAACACCCAAAAGGAGAGAGAGAGCAAAAGGGAATGCCCTGCCACAGAGGTGGGGTGGGGTGGGGGCGGTGGGAGGGATGCAGGGACCACTGGTGGAAAATAGACACTGGTGGAGGGATGGGTACTTGATCATTTTATGACTGAAACATAAGCACGAAAGTTTCTAAGTCTGTAACTGCACCTCATGGTGATTCATAAAAAATACAAAATAAAAAAAGAAAAGCTTCACTTACAAAAAGGGTGGGGGGCAAAGAAACGCTTCACTTCTGGGGAACAGGTTTTTAATGAACACATTTTCCTTACTCTTTTCTTTGTTATGGCTCTAACAGTCAGAGTTTTACATAGGGTTATGGTACTCACACACATTTAGTTGTAGAGCACCTGAGATAAGAATGGTAGTGACACTGGACTCACATTTGGCAATGTGTGTGGGCAGTAGCAGGGACGGAATGCTTGGCCTCAAGCCTGCAAGGCAGGTGTTCTTCTACAGAGCAATATCCCTGAGGCCCAGAAAGCTTAACTTTTACAAAAGCACGCTCTTCACATAACCACTTGGGCCAGCACTGAATGCATCCATTCAAACCAGCTGGCACAAAGGGAATACAGAGTTCTTCACAAACGAAGGGGAATTTAGTGAGTGGTACACCATGACTAGATTCTGTGCTCTTAAGTGAGCCTAAGAGAAGTGTTTGTTTAAATGCTTTACAGAAAAATCTGGACATTAAAAGTTGTATTTTTTGTATAAACAGTCTTTAGTACCATAGAAGAAAATGTAAAAGTCAAGATGTCTTAGGACTGGAGAAATAGTACAGTGAATTGGGCGCTTGTCTTGCATGCAGCTAACTTGGGTTCAATCCCTACCACCCAGCATGGTACCCTCAGCCTTTCCAGGAGTGATTCCTGAGTACTGTCAGGTATGGTTCCAAAACTGAAAAAGTAAGAATCCCCCTCCCCCCAAAAAAAACAACCAAAAATCATATAAAAAGTCAAGGTGCCGGGGCTGGAGCAATAGTACAGCGGATAGGGTGTTTGCCTTGCACACGGCCAACCTGGGTTCGATACCCAATATCCCATATGGTTCCCTGAGCACCGCCAGGAGTGATTCCTGAGTACAGAGCCAGGAGTAACCCTGGTGCATCGCTGGGTGTGACCCCCTCCAAAAAAGTCAAGGTCCCTTATCTATTTCTTGCTGCAAATCTGATGCTTTATAGTTTTGAAGCCACTTCCAGCTGTGTTCAGGGCTTACTCCTGGTTCTGCATTCAGGGATCACTTTGATAGGCTTGGAGGGCCAAATGGGGTGCTATTGATCAAACCTGGGTCTGCCATATGCAAGACAAGTACTTTTCCCCTGCGCATCTCTTAAGTCCCTCTAAATAGAAAGTTTTAAGAGGGATTTGTTTTTCACTTTTGGGTCACACCTGGCAATGCTCAGGGGTTGCTTCTGGCTCTGCACTCATGGATTATTCCTGGTGATGCTTGGGGACCATATGGTTTGGCTGTGTGCACCCTACCTGCTGTACTATCTCTCTGGCCCAAAGCCTGATAAAGTTTTAAACAGTAGTCTACTGATCAACAATTTGAAGCATAAGGCTCTCTTGAGAAAACTCTGGTTTGCAAAAGCTGTCTGAGAACATTATCATAAGGCTTATTACAAGAAATACTGATGGTGCAAATGTCATCATCTCACACCCTACTGGGCTTAGGAATCTGACCTAATATAGAACAGGCAGGCCATATTATAGTAGTCAGTTCCAATATTTCACCTATGTGAACTCAGGGACTACTGTTCCACCTATGGATGAAGCTTCTGAGTAGCCACTAAAACTAGGCAAATGGCAGAGTAATACACGGTGGATGATGAGGTTGAAACCTCCATAATCCAAAATGGGGTGTGGTGCAAGGAACATGGAAAAATATCTTAGAATTTGGACAGGTAAACAAAAACCAAGACTGAATCAAATCAGCAAAACTGTCAGTCTGCCAAAACAAGTTTTCCAAAAGATACATCCATAGCTTGCATTTTCCCAGCAGGATGAAATAAATATTAACTGATACATTTTTTAAAAAAATAAAGAAACCAAAGTTTCAGTGAAATTGTGTATGCTGAGGAATATTACAAAATTGGCTCCTAGAAAAATTATTAACCTCTTGAAATAGTTTTCACATTTTCTTTCAGAGACAGCTTTCAACCTTTGGGTGGGGCGGGGTGGGCAGGACATGGAGAAGGAAGTTTGGGCCAAACCCAGCAGTGCTCAAGGCTTATTTCTGGCTCTGTCTGTGTTCAGGGATCACTCTTGGTGGGGCTTGGGGGACCTATGTGGTGCCAGGCATTAAGTGGGTCTCACTGGTGTGCAAGTCAAATGCCTTAACCAGCTCTCTGGTTGCAGATTTCAGCTTTTACTTTAACACTATCTGGGAACACTTAATTTGTTCCTTGGCTGTATATTTTTAAAAAGCTTCTTTCACCAGGGAACCCCAGACTGTGAGCCAGTCAGGATTACCTTGATATATGTGAGGCACTGGGGATTAATCTCAAATTCTCACACTTGCACTGGGCACTTTCTAAGCAATTCAGCCATCTTTCAGGCCCTTTCTTGAATCACCTCAGTCTATATGGGGGCACTGGCTTTGAATTCATTAACAGGCAAGCACTTAAATTAGTGAGTCATATTCCAGGCCCCCTGTGTATTTTGAAAAACTAAAACTACATGGCACTGCAAGGTCCCAGAGAACCTCCAGGAATGATCCTGGTGCACAGAGTGGGAAGTAGTCCCTAGCACTACTGGGGCTACGTTTTGTAACACTCAAAAAAACCCAAATAGCTCCCTCCCAATAAAATGGTAAATCTTGGAGACACTTAGAACATAAACCGACTTTAGAAATGATGGAAACACATGCTGACAATTTTAGTTAAATCAGAAATTCACAACTAGAGATTGCATCTACATATCTTACAAAGCTAAAAATAAGTGAAATTTGTAACCAGCAAAAAAAAGTGCCACAGACTTTTAATGTTCATAATCTAAACTTTATGATTAAAGAATAGTTAGAAATATATCTTTTATTTGCAGAATCATCACTCTTAAAACGTTTCTAACACATTTGGAATTTTTTGTTTTTTAACATTTGGAATTTTTTTTTGTTTTAAGGGGAAAGGTCTCACTCTGTTTAAAATGCACTACTAATTTTTAATATGCATTAAACTCAATTACCCCCCCAATCAAAAGAAAAAGAAAGACCATACTGCTGTTTTGGATATGTAGTTGTTCCCACAAATAATAGCATCACATATCCTACCATTGATGAATATATATATATACTATATATATATATATATATATATATATATATATGTTCTCGTTTCACTTGTCAGTCATTGTCAGAACCATTTGGAGGTAAGAAAACCAACCCATCATTGAAAGCATGCCCAAATGCCCTAAGACGGTATACCCCGTACATCATCACATGCATCTGATTGGGAGACAGTCCATTAAAAGTAACAGCCATATCTGAACAGCATCCTTCTACTACCTGGTTAGGGCTATTAGCCATTGCTTCTTTAACGAAAAGCCCAACAGTTTTGGTATTAAACACATCTTTTCCTCCAGTATCTTCTGCGTTTTCTGCAATTACACCAGCATATTTCAGGCAGACTGCCAGCTGCATATCTTCCGATAACTTCCAAATCACCCCACCCTGTTCAGGACACTTTTCAGGAGAACTAAGAAGGTTGGAAAGTCTTTTCATTGACTCTATACTTAAGACAATTCCTCCTTCCACACTCACATATTCAAGGTCTCCAGATTTCACAGTGTGGCCTAGATAGAAAGGTTGGGATGGATCCTTTGTTAACAAAAAAAACTTTAAGTTTTCAATGATAGCAAATGTAGTGGGGAGTGCCAGGAAGAACCAATTATATTGCTCTCCATATTTGTCAAAGGCATACTTATAAGCTTTTCTCATCATTAACCACATGTCATTTGTTTCCATGTTAACTGACTCAAACACTTTAACGCTTTCGGAACTGAAGAACTCTGCTTTGTCGCAGTGTTTGGTCCAAGTGTCTTTCACTGCTGCCCAAAGACTAACATCTTTAGGTTTTACAAGGATGATACAGTATACCCGAAAGTTCTTACTGAGTTCCATGCGTTCATCTTCTGAAAGTTTTGAGATATCTTCTTTATTAGGAGCTTGTAAGTGATGATGCTCATGGTGGTGCATCCTATTTCCGTGACCAATCCTAACATGTCCTAGCATAGTGATCAAGGCACAGAAAATACTTCCAAGCATCACGCCCTTCAAAAATGAACTGCTTTCAGAAAGCATTTTCCTATAAAGAAGAAAAATATCCTTAGGATACACACTAGAAAAGGATTATATTCATAATTACATACCCATTATAGACTATAGCTTGTTCTTTATGTTTTAAAAGCAGTTCCTAAGTTTGAAATCAAACTAGCTGCACAGAGTATGAAGTATCAAGGACTCATAGCTTCTGATGGCTTTAGATTACTGTTCAGCATAAACTGGACTTTATGGCAGTATCTCTATGCAGTAGAATTTTCTGGAGACTATTTTTACACTTGATCTATGGGGATTTATTAAGTCACAGACTAAATCAAAGCATTAACCCCAGAAAGCAATTTTACAGAAGTTGTCAGCTCATCATTCTCTCTGAAAAAAATTTTTTTCACGAACTTGCATTATATTATCTAAATACCTGTACAGATAAATAACGGTCACAGTCCTCCCGTTGTTCATCGATTTGCTCGAGCGGGCCCAGTAACATTGTGAGACTTGTTACTGTGTCATATCGAATACATCACGGGTAGCTTGCCAGGCTTTGCCGCGCGGGCGAGATACTCTCGGTAGCTTGCTGGGCTCTCCAGAGAGGGGCAAGAAATCAAACTCTGGTCGGCCATGTTGGCTGTGTGCAAGGTAAACGCCCTACCGCTGTGCTATCGCTCCAGCCCAGATAAATATAAAATTTTAAATCAAAACTTACGTCAAACAGATAAAACCATCTAACTCTGTAAATGGCCAATCATATCTATGCTAGTATTTCTGTTACCAACCTAGCCCTTTAACTAATGCTTACTGTCCTTTATGAACTTCTGAATAAAGGAGGTCCTGGTAAATGTTTTCTTATAATATTGATAAGAAAAAATAAAAATCCTGGCTGATGTTGAACAGAACAATGTAATTCAAGAACCTAATTTAATTATATATGATTTTATGTAAAGACCCAGTTTCCAATCAACTTTGAGGACTATACATAAAGTTCATTTAGAATAATACCTTATGTTGGGCTGTAGCGATAGCACAGTAGGTAGGGCGTTTGCCTTGCATGCAGCCAACATGGCTTACCCGAGTTCGAGTCCTCCGCCCCCCTCGGAGAGCCTGGCAAGCTACCTGAGAGAATCTCGCCCGCTCGGCAAAACCTGGCAAGCTACCCGTGACATATTCGATATGCCAAACACAGTAACAATTGTCACAATGGAGATGTTACTGGGCCCGCTTGAGCAAATTGATGAACAACAGGAGGACAGTGACAGTGACCATATGTTAATATTTATCCTTCTATTCGTAAGGCCAAACAGTTTCTCAATTAATGCCATAAAGGCCCATCATGCAGTTAAATTATATGGACATGAGATCTGAGTCAATACAGGCATAGATGGGGATTATTACTGGGCATTCTTTTATTTCCTCCAAAGGAATTTTCTTATTCTTTGAGAAAATAAAGTCTACACTTTCATTTCAATTAAAAATTAAAAGGGCCAACATTTAATGAGATTTTCCTAATCTTCCCTCTCTCCACAAGGAATGCTTTACTAAGCTACTTAAGATTTTCCCATTGTCCCATAAGTTAAAGGGGGTCTTCAAGCTGCCTAACGTCATTTCGTTCATTTCACCGATAATAAAGGGTTCACAAAGGTTAACTCATCCCAAGTCACACAGTGATAGTCCTAGAAATCAGATCCTTTGGGCATCATCTTAATTTTGTTTTTACATAATGATCTCAACCGTGCTTCCATCTGTATTACTGAAAATTTAATAAATGAGTTATTGAATAACCCAGTTTTCCTACATATGAAGAAAGTGGGATCTGACAACCATAACTGAGATTTTGCACTCAACAATACCATAGAATGAGGAAATAATTCCTTAGTATTCTTCTAGAGGAAATGGACTTTGATTTCTACTAGAAGGATAAGGTGTGGAAAAGTTTAGCAGAGGAAAATCCCTTGTGCAGATGAGGTAGGCAGTTTTCCTTTATTACTCACAGAACTTGATCAGTAAGCAAAGAAAAAGAGAACTGACAGGAAATGAACTGCTTATTATAACTGCCAGGTGCACTTTAAATTTATATTGGCTTTCAGAATTTCATGACACAGTTTTCATTATTCCCTGTCAATTCACACACGTCTCAGTTTGATAATGGCAAATATGTCAGAATTCCTATGGGGAATTCCTATGGGGATCCCACTTCCTGACGGGTATCATTTGCACAATTCCTAATTAAGAATATATTATTTTTTGCACAAGTCATAATTAAGTGCAGATTTTTTTTTCTTTTTGGGTCACACTCGGCGATGCTCAGGGGTTACTCCTGGCTGTGCTGGGGAAACCATATGGGATGTCGGGGATCGAACCCCAGTCTGCCACGTGCATGACAAACGCCCTACCCGCTGTACTATCGCTCCGGCCCCAAGCTCAGATATTTTTCCAGTCAGGGAGGTAAAGAAAAAAAAAAGAATTACTGATGAACGTGGTTAAGATGTCTGATGTAGAAGAGGTAAAGTTCAAACTGCACCGGGGTACCGACATGCATCTACTCGGTGAAGGGGGTGGGGGTGGGATGGGGGTGGGGGTGCAGTATGGAAGAGTCCGGAGGGCGAAATGGAGAAGCGAAAGAAGAAACAGACTATGGTCATCTTAGCACGGAGCAGCTAAGAGGAAGGCTCGAAGTCATGCCCCGCTTACTGTTCCTCCCACAGCACCTGCCGGGGCACGGACGTGGGGCACTCTGGGAGTGGGCCGGGGCCCAGCCCGTTCCCGGGAGGGGGGCGGGGGCGAGCCGCTCCTGGGCCCGTAAGGACGGCGGACCGATGCCCGGGCACTCACCCGAGTTTCGAAGAGCTCAGGGGCGGGCAAGCGCAGCCGCGGACGGCTTTCCTCTCACATTCGCGCGCCTCTGGGTCCCACTCCTGCTCGGGCTGCTCTACATGCAGGCGGTGTCCTCTCGTTGGTTTCACCGTAGGTGGGGAGAACCAGGAAGTGGATTAGGCTACGGGCCGGAGCGGGGAGGCGGGGCAAAGAAGCCGCGGGCGGCGGAGGCAGAGCCTGGGGCGGGCGCTGACGTCATAAAGGCACCGGCGCACGAGGCGCGCGCTTCTCCCCGCCCCCCCTGTGTTCTGGCACGCGCGGCTTGCTGGCGTAACGACTTGCGTTTGTGCCCAATAGGGCACCCCGAGAGGCGTGCGTGTCTATGGCCCTCTGCCACCTCCCACCTTCCCGGCGTGGAAACTGCGAGAGCGTGGAGGAGGCGTGGCTCCTTGCAGTGCTTGCGCCAGGTTGCTGGTTGGTTTCTCTAATATTGCCTTATGGCTGCGTGACCCATCCTCTTATTAAGCGGATGGTGCTCCAGTTGGATACTTCTGGGCTGGAAGGAAAATGCAGACCCCTGAAGTAGTCACTGAATTTTGGGCTTGGAGTCTCTAACGCTAGCTATTAGAGTGGCTTCTGAAGTCGCATTCTCTAGTCCTGCTTTCACCCAGTCCTGATTTCATCGTATCCTTAATGTGCCGGGATCATTATTTCACCGCTTTATAGCTCAGTACTCTCCTTCGTAAAGTGCAAAATATATCATGGTATTGGCTATGTCTTAGATAGTGGGGTAATAAATATGATTTCCTTACCTAAAGACCAAGCTTGGTCTAATAGTCCCTGAAACACTGCCAGGTGTTGCCCCTTCCCTCTCCCCCTAAGAAAAACTTCAAAAAAGACCAAAGGATGGTCTTGTTAAACATTGACTGTTACTTTTATTCGCAGGCAACTCAGTGCCAGAATGTAGTAGACAATACTTATCTGTGTAATTGATGAATGCATGTTAGAGTTACAAACGAGCCAGAACTGTGAAAGATAAGGAACTTTCTGAAGACCACACAGTAAGAGTTTGAGAGCTCAAAGAGATTAAGTGCTTTGTGTGGTCCCAGTCGCTCTCCACCAGAGACTGCACAGTAATTAGCTGCAAAGGTGGGCCTCAGGATGTGATTCATATGCCTATCAAGTGTGAGATCATCGGTGTGGCCCTGCTGGCCACCAACGTTAAGCCCCCATTGCTGACTCTCCACTGCCAGTGGTCTCCAAGGTTCTCTGAGCATTGCTAAAAAAGTAACTGTAGAAGTAGTGATGTAGAAAATAATATAGGAAATAAAATAGAGAATAGGATAGACAGAAGGTTAAGCAGAATTTTTTAATGGAATGTTTTATGGTTGAATTTTATAGTACAGATTTGTGGTTTAGAAATAAGAAAGTTGTTATCTGTGTAATGATTAAAGGCTTTAGTGCTTAAGAGCTAGTATGGAGGTTAAGGTGTTTGCATTGCAGGCACCCAACAAAGTTCCATCCTCAGCATTGCATGTGGTCCTCTTAGCCCTGCCAGGAGTAATCCCTGAGTATAGACTCAGGGCATTGATGGATGTGGCCCCCAAACGAACCCCACCAATAACCCCCAAGCCCCCTGGCCTTGAACCAGTTTTTACTTGATTCCAAAACTATAATTTTAAAAGGTTATGCATTTTAAGGTTACAATGATTGAAATAATGTAACACTGAAGTTAGAATAAATGGCTCATACAGTTTTGGAAGTTTAGAGATGACAAATTGTGCATTTATTGTAGAGTACTAAAGTTTTACTTTAATAATATGAAATTTAAAGGTAAGTATGAACTCACTAAATTTAAATAGCTTAGAGGGAAGTTTGATCAAACAGGAAAGTCTGCCAAAGCAGAAAAAAAACTACTTTTTAAGACAGTTTTTGCAGTAAAAGAACAGTGAATTTGAAAAAGTTAACAGAATTGTAACAAATCAGTTACATAATAAAAATAAAAATTGTTTAAAATAGTTTTAGGTATAAATAGTAAGATTTGAAACACACAACTTCCTTTCAGATTGGTTTTATTTATGTATATTAAATTGTAATTACTGGGGCTTGAGTGGGTGGGGTACTTGCTTTGCATGTGGCCATCTAGGCTTGATTCCAACACACGAATATGGTGCCATGAACCTGCTAGGAGTGATCCCTGAGTGCAGAGTTAAGAATAAGCACTCAGCAGAGGCAGTGGTGACCCAACCACCCTCCCCTCCCCGCTTCCAAAAAAATAGTAGTACCCACTTTTAGTCTTTAAAAGACATCCCTTGGGCCTGGAGTGATAGCACAGCGGGTAGGGCGTTTGCCTTGCACGCGGCCAACCCGGGTTCGATTCCCAGCATCCCATATGGTCCCCTGAGCATTGCCAGGGGTAATTCCTGAGTGCAGAGATAGGAGTAACCCCTGTGCATTGCCGGGTATGACCAAAAAAGCAAAAGATAAAAATAAAAATACATCCCTAGATAAAAATATTACACAAAATAAACCCAGTTTTAGTTAAAACAGGGAACACTAATTGTTTTTTGGGGGGAGTATTTGTATGTGTTAGAACATTTGTGTGTGTTAGACAGTAGGACTAGAACCCACACCTCCTAATCATAATGCAAAGTTCTTTCTACTAAATGTGCTCTTTCTCTTAATCTTTGGTTTATTTTTGGGCCATACCCTGCAATGCTCAGGCTTTACTCCTGGATTTGTATTCAGATTATTCCTGGAGGAGCTCAGGAGTCAAAATGGGATGTCAGGGATTGAACCCGGGTTGGCCGCATGCAGGGCAAGTACCCTACCTGCTGTACTGTATGTCCAGCTCCTTTCTCTTAAATTTCATCTTGATGAATATATTTACAATATGCTGTCATTTGATTCTCTTCACATAACATGAAGTGGTAATTTACCTGAGTTACTGAAGACATTTTGGAGTATCAGCATTGATTCCATTTAAGTAGACTGAAGGTGTCAAGAAACACTTGAAACAACAAAGACATCATTTTTTTTTTTTTGCTTTTTGGGTCACACCCGGCGATGCTCAGGGGTTTCTCCTGGATTTGCACTCAGGAATCACTCCTGGCAGTACTCAGGGGACCATATGGGATGCTGGGAATCGAACCTGGGTCTGCCGCATGCAAGGCAAACACCCTACCCACTGTGCTATTGCTCCAGCCCCGACATCATTTTTTTTAACTTTTGCATTTTTATTACCACGGGTTTTTCTTTTTAAAAACAGGAGTCCAGGCAGCCACACCTGCGGGGGGGGGGGGCAGGGTGGTAGGAAAAGGCAAGTGGGGGGTGGGGGGGGCGGAACGGGAAGGGCAGGCAATTTTGCTCTACTGATAATAAAGCTCCAGGTTCATCCCATCATGGATTTCATAGTCCCCCAGAGACACATGGTCCTTGAAAATCGTGTACAACTTCTTCAACACGATCTTGTTCCAACGGGTTCCCGTCTGGGCCGCAATGGTGTCATCCATGTTGCACTTAACAAGGACTTTTTTGCCCAGACGGTTGTTACACACAACCTCGATCATTCTTTCCTGTGCTCGAGACACCTGGAACCTGCCAAAAACACAATTGCCCAAAGACATCATTTTAAAGCAGATGCTACTCTGGCAGCACCACCTGAAATCCTGGAGAAAAGTGTTGTACAAAATTAGGTTAACTTGGCTTCATGGAGCCCTCACTTTAATAGAGAAGAAAGACATTCATTTGATAAGTCATTACACAGAATTATAGAGCTGGAATGTTCTATAAAGGAAATTTAAAAAATGAAAGGAACTTAAAACTGCTCTTTCCACTACATTTTGGGAAGTAATATGTATTGTTAATTTAGTGCACACATGTCTGTATATGCCCATATATAGTAAATGAAAACACCTAGCAGAATTATGTGCATAAAACAATGATATTTTGTTAAAAACAAAATTTCATATATGTGCCCATATGTTTGATCTGTTTGAACCAGAAGGGTGGTGGAATTCTGTTCAGCTTTTTGTTACTATTGAGTACATCAAGAGGGAAAGGTGGATATGACTAGTATTGTCTCTTGTATTGGTTTGATAGCAGCCTAAAAGAAATAAACAGCTGGATTCAAAATGAAATTGAGCAAACTCCTCTGGGCTTGGACTGTTGAGAATGTCAAGGATGTTTTCTTATCTTGCCCTCCCCCCTAAACCTATACAAAGATGATAACATGTAGCCTGAGCCCTTATGCTTCTGACTGCCAGACACCAGGGACTTTATTGAGTATCCTGGCATCCACCTGCCTTTACTATTTTTGGGGGTGGGGCACACTCAGCGGTGCTCAGGGCTTACTCCTGGCTCTGTGCATAAGGATCACTACTGGCAGGCTCGGGGGACCATGTGGCATGCTAAGGGTCGAATCCTGGTCTGCTGAGGACAAAACAAGTGCCTCACCTGCTATCCATCGCTCCAAACCCTCACCTGCCCTTTCTAAAGGTCTACTTCCAATTTCTTTTCCTAAGTAAACTACTTCGGTAAGCATGCAGGCAAAATGGTCGTGTAGAACATGAGCCTGCTATCTTTTAATTTTCTGACTTGTTGTTCATGATGCTCTTTCTACACCTGTCACCTCTTTTTATTTTTGTAATTTTTCAAAACTTTTTATTGAATATCCGTGAGATAGACCTGTTTCCTGTTTGTGAATACAAAGCTGTTTTTGGTATTGGGTTTCAGCCATAAAATGATCCAACAACATCCCTCCACTTAACATTTCCCCTCAACAATGTCCCCCATATCCCTCTCCCCCCTTTTTTTCTTTTTCTTTCTCTCTCTCCTTTTGTTCATTATGGTTTGTAATACTGGCACTAAGAGGTCATCGTGTTTGTTCAGGAACTTCAGTATTTTTATCGGGAAGTTAGGTAAGGTTGGTGTAGCTTTTACAACTGGTTTGCAACTTTGGGGTATGGACATGACTGCTGAGGCTTCTGGAAGTACAGGGAGGTTAGGGAAGGTAGCCTATCCCAAACCTGAGAAAGTCTGGAGATTTCAGGTAAAAAACCTGCATACCTGAATTTTCAGCAGATTATGTCTTGGTGAGGTCTGTCCCAAGACAGTGGAGTCCAGCTGGGGTCATGGCAGCGATTTTGGGTTGTGGGAGCAAGCAGCTGCCAAGGGCTCTGCTTGGGCACAGGCTGACCCGCCCCCTCTGATTTACCCCGGTCTGTTCAGCCTTGTGCGGGTCCGAGATTAATTGTGGCTTTTGATCTCTTTCAAGATTTATTTATGGGTCTCTGAATAAAGGCCCATAAATGAGAATTGAGTTGTGGTTTGTGGGCATGGCTCCCACATAACTAACTTTTGGCCATTTAATTTCTTGGGAAACTTGATCCTGAGTTGTTGGGATCTGGCCAGAGGCACATTGGCAATTTTGGAGTATCAGGAAGCCTAAAGGCACCATCAGGCTGCCGATGCGCTCGCCCCTTGGGTACAGGTTGACCTGCTGGCGGGGCTGCATCCCCCTGTCTGAATTTTTATACCCTGGGAAGGAAATAGCCAAGTCTTTTGCAATAGTTTTCTACCTCCTTATTTGTTTTGGAAGGTATTTACCAAAACCTAAAATTTCAGAGATGGAGCTCACCTTCCCAGTCACCTAGTACAATCTCAACCTTTGATAGAGGAGAAACACTGCAGCCCTCTCACACAGGTAAACCTGGTAGAACCAGGACATAGAGGTGACTACTCTTTCCAAGCTTCTGTCTCCAACTCCACATGTCATTTCCTCTTGTTTTGTCCTTGGAGATGAAAAGGCTCGGGGTCCCTGTGAGCCTGTGTCTGTGCTTGTGTCTCTCTGTCTCTTGTTAAGCTCTCCCCTGCAGGCAGTGGACTGACTAGTCATTTCTCTCTCTCTTTTTTTTTGCTTTTTGGGTCACATCAACGATGCTTAGGGGTTACTCCTGGCTCTGCACTCAGGAATTACTCCTGGCGGTGCTCAGGGGACCATATGGGATGCTGGGAATGGAACCTGGGTTGGCTACGTGCAAGGCAAATGCCCAACCCGCTGTAGTATTGCTCCAGCCCCACTAGTCATTTCTCTTAGGAGGCAGAGAAACGATGGGTGGGACTTGTTGGAGACCAGAGAGATGAAGAAGATGGACAGGGTGGGTAGTTTATGGTGCTTTAAAACCCAAATAATGGAAGGATCTCCCCCTGAGAGAGCCTATTACAAAGAACTTTGGCCCAATACACCAGGAATGTATAAATCTGTAAAAGTCTAGCCCGTGAAGATTAACAGGTATTCGACCAAAGAATGTTGTTCCTCTCCTGATGATGTCTGGTTCTAAGCAGTAAATATTGTACCCAGAGGACAGTCAGGGCTCTCTGTCTGTGAGGCCATGAGCTCATGCTTTTTTTTTTGCTTTTTTGGTCACACCTGGCAATGCACAGGGGTTAATCCTGGCTCTGCACTCAAATATTACTCCTGGCGGTGCTCAGGGGACCATGTGGTATGCTGAGAATTGAACCTGGGTTAGCCATGTGCAAAGCAAATGCCCTACCTGCTATGCTATCATTCCAGCCCCCTGAGCTCATGCTTTTTCTGTCATACTTCTGTCGCTTTTTGCAATCCTCATGGTGTACCTGCTTCAGGCCTGTTCTCAGGGCTGGTCCCTGGCAGAGACTGGAGTCACTGGGGTTGCTCTTGGCAGCTGCCTGCTTGCTCCCTCAGTCTCAGCAGCAAAGACAGATTGTCTAGCAGGATCTCTGATTCCCTGTGAGAAGCCTGTCGGAGCCTCTAACCCAGGCCTGCCACATGGAATTTTCTCTCTGGAAGGGCAGGAGCAGCAGCGGCCAGAGCTCTACCCAGCGAGTTTGCTGGGCAGGATATGTGTGGCTGCAACTGGGCAAGAGAAGCTGAGGGCAGATGAACACTTACAGGGGGAGCAGAGTGATAGACCCGGGAGAGTGCTAGAGAGGGAATTTGTTGTGTGGTTCTTTGAAAGCCTAGAATAACGTGAACCTACTCACTATTCCTCATGCCCCTGTTGGAGGTTAGTTTGTTTTCTCAGCGCATCCTTGACATTTGCTGTCAAGTGACTCCTTTGAGTTGAGTGCCCTGAATGGGCCTAAGTCCATCCACAGATGTCCTGGTCACTGGAATCTGCTACTCATCAACGTACCTCCCTTTGGAGAGCTCTGAGGCAGCTGCTTTCCGGGTTTGGATGCATTTAAGTAGTTGGACTTTCTGGCCTGCAATTTGGGAGGTTTGGTTCCTCTCCTTTTCCTGAGCCAGGAAAGGCTGGGCCCCTTGGGCAGGGGGCGCTGGAGGGTGTGGTGTGGGAGGTGGACTTTGGGGGCAGGGGCAGTGTGGTGGCTTCTAGTACGGGGACCCCCCAGGAGGACTCGGGGTGGCCTCAGGTTGTGGGGAGCGCTCTGGGTAGCACTGGGGTGCTGGGTCCTGAGGGGTGTGTGTGGAGTGGTCCTGAGGAGCTCATGAGGGGGCCGGGAGGGTACGGGGCCCCCAAGGAGGGTTCAGGGTGGTCCTGGGTTGTGGGGTGCCCCAGGGAGCATGTGGGTTTGCCCCAGGGTGCGGGGATTGGGCCCCAAGGAGCGTGTGCTCCCCCTCCAGGAGCAGGCTAGGTGGCCTTGGGGTGTGGCATCCCGAAGGGGGCGGGGGGTCCCCAGGGGGACATCAAGTGGCCCTGAGGAGCATGCTGGGAGGCTGATGAGCATGCTGGGTGACCCTGGGGAGTGGGGGCCCCGAGGAAGGCACGGGGTGGCCCCGAGAAGCCTAGAAGTGTCACCTCTTGATTGACTAGTACTAGTGGTAGTGGAACCTAACTTTTGTGATTATAACAAGCAGTTGTTCCTTTTGGATTTGAAGATCAACAGATAAAGGGAGCTTTAAAATTAGAGGGACAAAAAGGAAAAGAGGAAAAACTACCAACAAAAAAGTACCTTTGAAGGCCAGAGGGAAAGTCCAGGGGTAGGGTGTTTGCTTTCAAGCAGCTGACCCGGGTTCAATTCCCCACCATCCCATATGGTCCCCTGAGCACCACCAGGAATAATTCCTGAGCACAGATCCAGGAGTAACCTCTGAGCATCGCAGGGTGTGACCCAAAAGGTAAAAAAAATGTCTTTGAGAGAGTACAGAGAACCAGGTCTCTCTTTGCAAAAAATGGATGAAGGACAAGCTAGTGAGAGTCCTCAGATTTCAGAGACGATGACAAAAAAGACAATTAAAAATGCTTCTTTTATTTTTCTTGTGTAGGAATCCTACCAAACTGGAAGTACTGACAGCAGATGCTTTTGAAACAGTATGAGGCACAGGATTTTCAAAACAAAAAGCACTGCTAATGAGCTTGTGTGAGAATCTAGCTCTCTATATAAAGCTTAAATATGCTTTGCATTTGAAGTGAGGTTAGTTGGATGATTGGCTTATAGTTAGATGCTTGCATTCAAAAACACCATTCCACATTGTAGCTCTAATGAATGCAATTAGTACCTATTAAGATTAAAAATTAAGAATATTGTACTTTAGGGAACCCACAAACCCACTTCACATAACCTCTCC